AATTCACTGTACTTCAAGTTATAGGCTTTTATCAAAAGCCTTTTCTAACACTTAAAAGGCATAGAACTCTTCATTATCACCAAAAAAGTTGATGGTATAAGCATCTAGATTTCCATATAGGTACAACCCTCTGTAGTGAATATTAAAGGAAGTATTTGGGGGAAGATAGGAAAGGCTTTGGGATTATTGTTGACTACAAAGCTTTAGGAGTGAGATGTGTTTGTTGTCTTCCATGCAGCAGTCTTAGAAGTAAGTATGACCTTAACAGTTATACATTTTTCCATGACAAAATCTCACCTTAAGGAAAAGATAAAAAGAACACATTCATACTAAAAACTACATACAATTTTTAAAACATGGGTTCAGTTACATACTTACCATAAACATAGATATCACAAAGGTTGCCTTAACAAAAATGGACTTAGTTCCTTCCCCAAGGAGGTTTATAATTTACATATTCTATACAAGACTCCATTTTTGTAACAGGAATAACTTCAATTTTTATATATAACTTTAGTTAGGCAAGATGTTAACACTGCAAAAGGCTGGCTCAAGGATGCATGGGACCTCCCTGTACATTTCTTTGCAACCCCCTGTGAATTTAACCTGTGAATCTATAATTATTTCAAACTTAAAAGTTTAAAAAAGGGGAAAGAGGTCAGATAAGAAGGATAAGCCAATTAAGGCAAAAGAGATTTAGGAAAAGAAAATTACCACTAAAAGTTTACCAAGAATGTTGGGACACAGGTGTGTTGTCTCCCCTCTGAAGAAAGCTTTGGGGGATGGGAATAATACTAATCTTATAAATTACATGCTTAAGCAGAAACTTTCCTCTTGAAAAATTTGCTTCCCTTTCCTGTTCATTCATCCAAGCTAATGTAATGAGGTTTCTTGAGGCTATCATTCATTAAGCCTTTCTGTTCATCAGCACATTGTATAAAATCAATTTTATTTCCCAAAATATACTCTTCCTCCCAGCTGTCTAAGGCAATCCAGAAACATCTGCATTGACTCACAGAGGCAGGTCAACCAAGTATTAGACTGTTTTCAATTACATAGTTATTAATTCCATTAAACAAAGAAAAATGCAAAAATTTAAGAATTTTTACTTTCTCTCCCTACTCCCTATCACTTTTTAAAAACAGATTAACTGTGTACATGGAATCTGCAGGATATACTCATAATACGAATCTCAGGAAACTATTGTTTTTGAAATCAGGAAGATTGCCTTTTCACTATCATATGTGGCTCTTTATTTGCTTTATTTGCTTTTTTGAAGAAT